CTCATTTAGAGGTGACATGGAGACAAATAGCTCACTGGAGGCCAGATACACAGACTCTGCTTCGTCTTCCTGCGGACAAGACACATGGAGCTAGACTAGAGCCCTGGAGATGGAGGAACTACGTGGAGACCCACGCCAGCAGTGAGATGTTTCCACCACCACTGGATCCACAAAACTTTCCACCCACTGTGATCTTCCTGCATTTGGCATCATAGCATGTGGTGCATGAGTATGAAGTAGGCTTTATAGATTGGTATCGGACATATGGGCTAATATCGGACTCAAGGACTTAATCTGGACTGGGCTGGGATGTTGTCTCAATATTCAATTGCTCTTTTATAGAAAGCTCTTTCTTATACACATATGAGTGTCTATGGATTTGTTTTTTCTAGTCAACCCAGACTAACACAATATGTAGATATATTAATTCATAAAAATAGAGGTATTGGCTTAAGTACATATATTTATATGGAAATACACTGAGGTAGTGGACAGACTTTGGGACTCTGCTCAAGTGCTGTCTCAATGCAAGAACACTGTGTTCTAACATCCTGGCATTCTGTGATGCTCACCCTCCCGGCATGATTGCTGAAGATAAAATGGGTGCATAAGCAAATGTGGTGAAGAAAGCAAATGGTGCCAGGTTATCAAATGATATAGTGTCTGGGATCTTAAAGGCTTGAGGTTAGACAAGCGGCCATCTAGCAGAGAAGCAACAAGGCCACATGGAACAAGCACAGCAGCCTGTGTGATCATGAGGTGTTGACAGGATTGGCTAACAGACATCAGAAGACACAAAACAAACAGTTGTAACAAACAAACAAACATATTGTTGAGAATGAGGGGGCTCAGAGCAGAGACCCAAAGCCCATCTGTAGACAATGGGACATTGTCACAGGAAAGGGATGAGTCAACCAGGGCGCAGTCTAGCACTGATGAAACACACAATATTCCTCTTGTTCTTTGAGGCTTCCTCACACCACCCCCACTATCATGACCCCAGTCCTGCCTTTCACTTCGGGCTAGATTGTAGCACATGCACAGGTACACGACACATGGAATCCAGGAACAGGAATGGGAGTAGCAATACCAGATGGGTAGGGGGAAGGTGGGGAGAGGTGGGGTGGAAGGGGGAACAATCACAATGATTGACACATACACACACACACACACACTCACAGGAGAATGAACAACAGAAACTGTGTGAAACAATGGTCAGTATAACATATGAAAATAATAATAATTTATCATTTATCAAGGGGTCATGAGGGTAGGGGGGAAGGGAGGGTAAAAAGAGGAGCTGACACAAGGGCTCAAAGAGAAAGTAAATGTTTAGAAAATAATGATGGCAACATATGTACAAATGTGCTTGATACAATTGATGTGTGGATTATCAGAGTTGCCAGAGCCCCCAATGAAAGGATTTTTAAAAATTTAAATGCATAGCTTTGAAAAAAGAATTCCGATTTTGGGGGGTACCCCCTCGTATGTATAAGAAACAGCTTTATATCAAGAAATAATTATATATCAAGAAGGACTCCAAGCCCAGTCTAACTCAAGTGCATCAGTCCAATGCTAGTCCACAACCCCTCTTCAGACTCACGTAGCTGCAGGCTGCTGATGCAAAACAGTGAAGCGGGAAGATCACAGGGAGAGGGGGCAGGTGGGAATGTGGAGGGAGCTCACAGCTTTCAAGGCTGGGCAGCCTACCTGGGACCACCCCTGGAGCTAGGCAGCGTTCTAGCAGGCAGGCCAGCGGTGAAAGGGGAGAGAGAAACAAAGGCTCACCACAGTCATTCCATTTCCTTGGCTGCTAGGCGACCTGCCTCTCCTCTCCCCCCCTGGGAAAGCCCTGCAGGCAGTTTCCCCAGAAATGCATCTCCTGTGCCGGAAACAGGACGGGGTTCAGAATGTTAAGATGAATCGTGCTCTTCTGGCTTCTGTAACGTTTGCCCACCTCGTTGAAAAGTTCCCATGTGGGTTTTGCCTCTATAAACTCGCTTGTAACTGCTTCTCGGTACAGTCAGCTAGCCTAAACACTCTTCCGAATTTCTTGGAAATGATAGTAGTCATCATTTACTTGAATCCCCAACGATGAGAAGGCCACACCCCAAGGAGGTTGGACTCCACCCTCCACTTCTGTGCCTCTTTAAGCTGACATGAAACGGCCGCGCTACTTCATCTTTTGGGTGGCTGTTTCGATGGTTGTGTCCCCTTTGCTAGCATAAAAGAACACAACTCATTTTTCTGTGCTGACCCCACACCTGGCCAATTTTCTGAATCTTTCTATTAGTTCTAACTATTTTCTTGCTGATTCTTTGAGGTTTTCTATGTATAGGCTGATATCATCTGAGACTGGAGAGGGCTTTACTATTTTTTGCCCATCTGGATGCCTTCAATTTAAGATTTTTTAATTTTGTGAATTGGGTGAAGGTGCACAGAGCAAACCATTGGTCTCACACTCAACAATTCATACACATTTTGCTTCAATTCAGTCACTGTAATCTTCCCACTGTATCCTCGCTTATTCTGATTTCTCCTGGTATTTCCTCTTTCTGCTCACTTTTTAAAATAACCCTCTATGTCCTCAGATCAATGGTGCCCTTTATCTCAGATGGTGAACCCCGTTCCAGACCGGAAGGTGACTAAGGACAAGTCTCTGCGCCCCACAAGCCTCTTTGTGATTTCGAGTTCTGCTTCTTATTTTGCTCCCACTCTGTCCAGGGTCTTCTCACGTGGTCCTCTTCAGAGCAGCTGGTGTGGGGGGCTGCATACCGTTTAGTTCTGGGCTCGGGCTTGTGGAACCTGGTGTTTGCGTGGTCCCCTGGTCCACATGTCTTTTGATTTCTATCCCTCTTTTTCTCCTGATGAGGACAGACCAGTGGCTGCACCTCAGATGGCTGCTCCTGAGGTTGTAAAGACTCCAGTTGCCACTCACCCAAGTCGGACGCAGGGCACTGTCTTTGTGGATGGTACTCCAGTACCTGGTCCCCGAGACTGTGGTCCGGATCCTCTAGGCCCAGTGGCTAATTCCCTCGAGAAGTTTGGTTTTGTCTAAGAAACACTCATAATCTTGTTATCTAACCAAGGATCTGCTCATCAACCCCCCTGATTGCAGGATTGTGCATCCAACAGTATTTGACCTCCCACTGTCTTCCTCTAGCCCCATGACCTTTTCCTAATCTAGAGGAGTCCTGGTGGCATAGAGGGCCACATGTCGGGAGTGTTCGCCCACCAGCTGCTCCGTGGGAGAGAGATGCGGATTTCCATGCCTGTGGGTGCCGGACTTCAGAAATCTCCCCTGTCCTCTAGGGTCGCTAAGAATCAGAATCACCCCCCACTCGACCCCCTTTCATCCAAGATAACACTTCCCTACTCTCTACTCCAGCCCCGCGCCCCTCCCCCTCTTCCCACCCTTGGGAACTACCCAAGAAGGTTCCTTTAAGGCAAGGGTGTCAAACTGGCAGCCCTTGAGCTGCATGTGGGCCCCGAGGTAATTTTTTGTGGCCCATGATGCTCTGAAATAAAACATAACGAGGGAATTGTGTGTACGGTATTCCCTCAATCTCCCCGAAGCGCTATTCTCTTATAACATTTTTTTTTCTATTTTCATTTTATTTCAGAGCATCTTGGCCTACAAAAAATTACCTCGGGGGCCGCCTGCGGCCTTCAGGCTGCCAGTTTGACACCCCTGCTTTAAGGCAAGCGAAATGAACGCTGTACACCTGTTTCCTCACCTGCGTCATGAGACAGCACTCATGCGTCTCACACCAGGGTGCTGGGAAGACTGGTTAGCACATTGCCTGCCTTATCAGAGGACCTGTTCCTTGCCTGGCCCAAGATGACCAGTGGTCATTAGTACGGGAATGTCCACAGCTGCTGCCCAGATGAAGCCAAGACATCGGCAGGCAGGAGTGTGGGGAGGAGAAACATTTATTCCCGGAGCTCCCATGGGGCCGAGGGCTGTGCAGACACCAATCCTGTCCAGTTGTCCATGGGTCCAGACCCACGGCAGCCCTCTGTTGGAGTTCCCAGAGGAAGGCATGAGGTCAGAGGAGGTCGAGGGTTGAGCCGATGTGGATTTGCTGGTTTCACCCCATCATTGAGTCTGGGGAGACCCACCCCGGCCAGGCTTCTTGTGCAGGGGCGTGCTGCATCATGGTGAGGGTGGGGGTGATGGGGCACCTCTTGCCAACTCTTGCCCCAGCCTGGAATTCTGGGGACCAAAGGGACCACATCTGGGGAGAGGCCTAGGGAGGCGGCAAAGCTGGCGCTGCCACAGTAGGGTAGCCCCTCACTTCCTGCTGGGGACAAGCACAGCGTTGGTGCCACAGTGGGTGGGTTGGGCGGGGTGAAGCTGCTGCCGGCCCTGTCACCTAGCATCCCCTTTTGGGCACTTTTCTGCTTGGGAGGACACCGTACCCCACAGCATACAGCAGACACACCCCAGCGGAGCATCCGCTCCTCCAGCGGCACCTCGCCTCCTCCACCGAGCACACTGTGGGCAGCTGCAAGGCCTGGGGCCCCTATGGGGGGTAGCCAGTGCCTGAGACAGAAGTCTTTGTTCAAGGTCCAGGGAACCACCCCTGGTTGGGGGTGTCTCTTTGGGAACCCCATCACCAGCCAGCTTGTTCACACCCTTTCTGCTCCCACTGACCATCGTCCACCCAGCCGTCCACCCCTGTACCCCAGGAACTGATGTTCTAGCAGGAACCATTGGCCACCCTCTTGCCCAGGGCCCAGCTGACGTCCTATCACAGGGAGGGAGCCAGAGTCAGTTGAGTGGGACAGAAGGCGGACAGGTGACACCAGCCCCACCCTGGAGTCCAGGCTTCCAGGGACAGGACAGGTACGGTGCAGGCTGCTCTCCAGTAAGGGGCAGCCCAGGGGACTCCATAGGGCCAGCTTTGGCATGAGGAACGGCCAGAGTCAAGGACAGAGTGAGACTGTGTAGATGAGCCAGGATGATGGGCTGGGGAGAGGAGGGGGGTCCGCCAGAGTCACAGGGGCGTGAGATCGGGGAGCGCTTGGAACGTGAGCAGCGGGTAGGCGGACGGGACCAGCACGAAGCGGAAGGCCAGCTCCAAGTCCCCTGCGGAGGCGGTGCTCACCTGGAACGTTTTCAGCACCTAGGACCAGGGCAAGGGCAGTGCACGCTGGCCGGGCGCAGCCTCGCAGGGCTGCCCTCGCCCCCGCGCCCGCCCCTGCTCCGCTCCCCTCCGCTCACGTGGTGCAGGAAGAGGAGCATCTCCGCCTCCGCCAGCCGGCGCCCCAGGCACTGGCGCACCCCGAACCCGAAGGCCACGTGGCGGAAGTTGTCACAGGAGGCCTTGGTCAGCCAGCGCTGAGGGTCATAGCGCTCTGGCCGCGGGAACACGCCGGGATTGCGGCCCAGGGAGTACAGGTACAGGTAGACCAAGGTCTGCGGACAGGGCGCGGGGCGGTCAGCGGCCTCCTGGGGTGGCGGTGGGGGCCCGAGCCCGCGACCTCTGACCTTTGGGCTGTGGGGCTCCACTCACCCCAGCTGGGATGTGGTAGTTCTGCAGCACCAGGTCCGACTGCACGCGCCGGTGCACAGTGAGGCCCACCGGGTACAACCTGGGGGCAGGGCGGAGCGTCCTCAGCCGGGCCTCTGCTCCTCCCGACCCCACCTCCCAGTGGCCAGCAGCACCCGGCTCCGCCCCGAGACGGGGAAGGCACGATGGCAGGAAGCTGGGAGAGGTGGCCCCTGGGGACAGTGGGATGCTCAGAGCCGCCAGGGCTAGGTGCTTCTCTGCTGGGGGGCTCCGACGGCACCTACCGAAGGGTCTCCTTGAGGGCAGCCCGCAGCAGGGGCAGCTGGGATGTGACCCTGTGAGGACTCTGGGTGACTGCCACCTCCGCCTCCAGACTCTCCTTCCGCAGCGCCTGCTGCACCTTGGGGGTGCGCGCCAGCTCAAAGAGGGTCATCAGCAGGGAGTAGGAGGTCTGCCGGTGGGTGGGGGTGGGGTGGGGAGGGGTGGGTCAGCAGGCTTGAGCCCCAGGCCAGGTAGTTCCCTGAAAAACCTGCTCTTCTCTCCCCCCACAGCCACGCCCCCCACCTGCAAGCTCATGCAGGTGTGTCAACCCTGTCCCTCTACTCCTGGGACTTGGGGAGGTCATCTGCCTAGTCGGTCCCCTCCCTCCCCAGCCTGGGGACCCTGGCCCAAGTCTAGACCCCATGTGGATTCTTCAAGCCAGCCCCTGAGTCATTCCCAGGGCAGCTGAGGGCCTGGGCAGGCCATGTCCACCCATGTCCACGAACAGCCTCCTCCAGTCAAGCTGAGGGCCCGCCCAGCTCTGCCCCGGGGACAGAGTCTCAGGGGAAGCAACTGTGAGCCCGCTGGTTCCTGGGTCCAAAGGCCTGGTGCAGGGCATAGTGGGCCTTCCCCTGACCCTCTGCCCTCCCCATCTCCTCTGCTGCGAGCTTCCTCCCATGGCCAATGCCCTGACCTCATCAGAGCCTGGCTAATCTCCACGGGTCTCTGCTGCAGCCAGTGAGGGTCAGCTCCCCCTGGAAGCCCCCCAACCCCTGCCCATTGTGACCACAGTTCCACCCAGAAGGGACCTCGGGCGAGTGAATCCGCTGAGGGGCTGAGCAGGGGTTGGGAGCCTCTGCTTCCCTCGCTGGCCGTGCCCTGTTCTCTGGTCATCACTCCACCAGAAGGAAGGGAGGGGTCCCGGGCAGCTCTACTGGCATCTCTGTACTGCCAGGGCCCAGGCTTTCGGGGTCAGGGGACTTGGATGGCCTCTCACTGTGGAACAGAGGCCTGGGCTGAAGCAGAGCCTAGGGCTGGCCCGGGGCCGTGTCTGGGGGGCAGCGGAGGGGCAGACCGTGTCCACGCTCCCTGCAGTGAGGTCCACGGCACTGCTCTTGATGGTGTCCAGAGACAGGTCGGACTTCAGCAGCAGCTCCGCCATGATGCCGCTGTAATGCTGCGGGCCGCCGAGGGTCACCTCCTGGTGGATGCTCTGCATGGCCTTGTTGGCTGTGGGGGACAGAGCCAAGCCCAGGCTGGGGGCGGGGCAGGGACAGGTCTCCTCCTCCTCCTTGGCTCACTGTGGGCCCCTCTCCCTGGTCAGCACAGGGCTAGCCCTCACCAAACTGGAAGATGGTGTCCCAGGCCTGGAAGTGCCGTGCCCACACCCCGGCGCTGGCCCAGCGCGAAAGGCTGGGCGGCAGGAAGGCAAGCTGCGTGGTGGACGTCAGCATGACTTCCATGGCCTCCTGGAAGTCCACACTGGCAGGGCTGGGGGTGGGGCCCAGGAGGCCCAGCCGCTCGCCGTACAGGGCAAAGTTGCTGGCTGTGGGGCACAGGTGCCAGGTTTCAGGCCACGCCCGGCCTTGCGGCCACTGCAGCCCAGTGCCCGGACCCTGAGCCGAAGCCCACCTTCCATGGCGTAGAGAAAGACACTGGGCTGGATGTCCAGGGTCAGGCTTCTACGGGCGTTCTGCAGCACCCTCCGCCTCAGGGCCTGGACAAAGTCCCGGGCCACCGTGTCCACCATGGGCATGAAACTCCGGGTGCTCCTGGGCTCCAGCAGGTCTGGGTTCAGCCGCAGTCGAACGCGGCGCCACTCTGGCCCGTTCCTGCCGAGCAGAGAGAGCAGGTGCTGGGGAGTGGGGTGTAGCAACCTTGGGCGGGATGGGCTGGTCCTGTTTCTGCAGCTCAGGGGCTCAGGGGTCAGGGGTCAGAGGAGTGCCCTGTCATGCAGACCCCACAGTGAGGCTGCTCCCCACCCGTTCATCCACCTCACACCCTCAGCCCCAAGCCCCTGGGCAGTCCTGCAATGTGTCCCCACAGGAAGTCTGCCCTCACACCCCTCACCCCACGCACACACCCGACGACCCACATGACCCCCGCACAGGGGCTTGCAGGAAGAGACGTGCCTGGGTGTCCACTCTGCTGCCTTCGACCAGGGCAAAGGACGGGAGGACTGAGCAGTAACAGGAACAAACGCATGACATGTAAACCCTGTATGCTCATGCACACGCAGGCATGTGCATGCTCTACACACCTGTATGGGCAGACATGCCCTCGCGTAACGACGTGCACACACAGATACACATGCATGCAGGCGCGCTCTCCAGCACACAAGCACACACTTGTAAACACAGGTGCTGGCTACACAGGTACACACGCACACACAATCTCCATGCAGGCATACGTGCACATGTGTGCACATACCACACTCACAGCACACTCACTCACACACACAGGCACAGGTACATGCACACACTCATAATTTGGACTAAACATGAAACCCATGCACACAACATCCACTGACACGTATGTATGCACACATGCTTGGGCAGGCACTCACTCAGGTGCACACACATGCAAGCCCATTGTTGCTTGCACACATGAGTACACATTTAGGCACACCCTGCAGATGCCCACAGGGATGCAGACCCACTATCACACCTGCACACTCACCTTCCCCGAGATCTGACTCGGACCATCCTCCAGCCCTTCCATTCTGGGGTGCTGACCCCTCCAGATGCCCACGGACAAGGCCCCACCCAAGGCTGTCTGGCTCCCAGCACCCTCTCTGTGGTTAACGGCCAGGTCTGTTCTTTCAGGAGACAGTGCCACCAGTCTGGGGCCAGTGCCCGTGTCTCCTCGGAGGACAGTGAGGGTTCAGATGTGCCCCAGTCCTCCTGGGGCCCCGTTTGACCTGGAACAAGCACAGGTTTTGCCATAACCCTAGCACCCAAGTGCCCTGGGAGAGGAGGCCAAAGCTCGGGGTGATGCCCAGGCAGGGGTGCATGCTGACACTGATGAGGGCTGTGGGTTCCCTGCTTCAGCCTCTGGGTCTGCCCTGCAGACTCAGTGGTCACTGGCCTTGTGCCTGCTCCAGGGGATGTCCACTCGTGTGCCCTTCTGCCAGTGTCCCCTCTTCAGCCCTGAGGAGACATCACCAAGTGTGAGACCCCCCACCCCACCCGAGCTGCCCCTCACATCAAGAACACGCCCAGGGTAAGCCCGTGGTGGTGTCGGTAGGCCAGCCAGGGCTCCACGGGCACCCGGTAGGGGTGCAGACCATCCACCCGTTGCAGCTGCTCGGCATGCTGGGGCAGCATCACGTTCACCATGGGCACACTTCCCACGTTGTACCTGCGTGGGACAGAGGAGCCGGGTGGGCATGTCCTCCCCTGGCTTCTAGTCTGCAGGGGCTCCCTCCAGTCCAACTTTGCCCTCCTTCCAAACTCATGACTTGGCAGCTAGGAAGTCCTTCCTGCAGTCTGACTGAAATCCCTCTAGCTTTAGTCCTGTCTGCTAGCGGTCAGTGGCTCAGTGGCTCGCCTCGCGGGGTGAGGGGCCAGGGCCTCCATGGTTAAGGACACGGTCCTGCAGCCCTTGGTGTCACTGCTCGTCCCCTCCCAGGGACGCAGAGTGCTGGCCCGTGTACCTGAAGATGGGCCCCAGCTCCTGAAAGTGCTTCTGCATCTCCAGGTGCAGAGTCTCCTGGCCCCGCTCCTTCCAGATGCGCAGCATCCTGGTCCACTGGTTGCCAGGACACTGGGGGATGGCTTCAAAGGGCAGCACCGCCTGGCGGGCCGGAGACACACCAGTGCCCAGTGCCCGGACCCAGCGCAGGGCCACTGGGGGCCCCATGGCCCACGCACCTGCCTGCATCCTGAGCTTTGTCTCCGGGCGCCCACCACACTATCCCAGTCCCGACCTTTTATCCCCTTGCAGGGCCGAGCCTGGCTGTTCTGCTGGCGTCATGGGAAATCACCCGGCCCGGGCAAGGACCCGAGCCAGGCCCCCTGTGGCCCCATGGCCAAGGGTGGAGGGTGGTGTCCCTCATTTCACGAGGGAGTAGCATGGAGCAGGGCTGCTGAGGGCCCCAAAGTGTCACCAGGAAGGGGTGGGGTGGAGTGGGGGG